ATCTGTATCATATTTATCTCCATAAGAGACAAGAATATCTCTAATGTTGGTTAACATCTTCAGTGTTTTAACTTGCCTTATATTGCTACCTTACTAATTCCAGACATAAGCATTTTTTTCCCTAATATACTACTTTCTGACATTAGGTTACAGCACATAAATTATCAGATTTTCCTCCAGGTCAATTATCCTCCAGAGCCACTGTTTACCATATCAATCCTGTAAACGCTGTCACAGAAAAATACCAGTCCCCAAAGAGCCCTGCTACAAATTTTCTGGCTAATATCTTTTCGGATCCGGACAGCGCTTGATGCATGCGTCCTTTCTTCGGGTCAAATAATCTGGCGTTAAGAATCTGGGGCAGACTGCGGATGTGGGTGACTCAGAGTTTTTCATTTTCTCACTAATGACTTTTTCGAAAGTCATGTCAGACTTCAAAGGACAGAAATTAAACACCTCCCTTCCTTTGCAACAGATCTATGGCGACCCTGAAAAAAATATTGGACCTGGATTTGGTCTCCAGGTTTAACACTGATGTGACAGATCCATAGGTTTTTAAAAACACCGGGAACAGGGAAAGTTCTGATGAAAGGGATTAATTAAGATCATCTGGACATTGATGAACACAAGGTATTCAGCAGAAATTAAGATAATTTTTTTTTCATTAATAATAAAACACTGAAATTGTGTGTGTGTGTGTGTGTGTGTGTGTGTGTGTGTGTGTGTGTGTGCAGTGAGTGAAAAGTTTGGACACACCTACTCATTGAAGGGTTTTTCTTCATTTTTACCGTTTTCCACATTTTTAGAATAATAGTAAAGACATCCATGAAGTAACACAAATGGAATTATGCAGTGACCAAAAAAGTGTTAAACAAATCAAAAGTAGCCTATATTTTAGATTCTTCAAAACTTCAAATATGTTTTAAAACATATGTGTTAAGCTTTTTTTGGAAAGAAATTCATACATAGGCATCAACTTTGCTGTTTATATTTAAGAAACACATTTTATTTAAACATAAGTCTTTCAATCAAAAAATGTTTTTGAATGCATGTTTTCAAAATTTTGACTGGTACTGTAAGTGTACGTATCAAAGCCAGCACCATAGAATTATAGGTAAACTTTAAAAGCAATCGTGCAAACCTTGACCTAGCAAATGTCTTCCGATTCCTCATGCACAGGATAAGAAGGGTCATAAAAAGGCAGAAACGGAAGGATGGACTCTGGCTCTTCTACACCTACCTGATTGGGAAGTGGCATTCACGGCCGGATCAGCTTTTTAATCGGCGAGGCAATTATGTCTATTAGGCTCTCATTTCCCAATCAGCGTGTTTGCGGAGGAGAGACCATAAAAACCGAGCCCGCCTCGCATGTTGTTTACACGTGTAATTGCTCCCCACTTCAGCGGCGACGCTGAGCAGCCTCCCCCTCTCCGCCCCGCTGACCTTGATCTGGAGCCGTTCCATTTCCAGCCGTAGCGAGCCTCATTAAGCGGCGCTTGCGGAGAGAATCGACGAACCGGTCTGACGTGACCTTCCAAAAACAAACAAAACAGCGACCCCCAAAAAAAAAAAAAAACTTGACAAGAAAATTCTTGACAAGAATTGTCAAAATATTTTAAAATGAATGTGCTCTTTTTGCACTGACAAGAAAAGGTGCAGTTGCAGTTTTGGAGTATAACTGAATGATATATGAATATTGTATGCAACTGTGTTTGTATGCTGTACTTATAATTAAGAAACAAACCATGTTTTCTTCACAGTTCTAGAAATGTCAGCTTTTTATGTTCACAGGAAATCACATTTTACTTCAAAAGAAGACAACCACAAATCACCTCTGACTGGTTTGCTAGCCCACCTGACATCCTGTGTGGTAGGAATTGAACATGTGACATCATAATGTGACATTAGGCCAAACTGGGTGGAAATTTGCACTTAAATGTAATGTTTTCAAAGGTAGCTTACTTTACATGGCTAATAAAAATGCCACCTGTCTCTGAATCAGTGTTAAACGACATTGTAGAGCAAGGCTAGCAGAGGTGCACACTTTTTACCACAGATGTAAAGAAAGCTGAAACACTCCACATGGGTATGCTATTTTGGCTCTTATCCAACTCTAAAACAGACTGATCCCAAAAGAAAAAAATCCAATTCAGCTTCATCCCATACTGAAATTCTGTTAAAGATGACCTAGAGAGATAATTAACCTCTCCCCCCTTTGGACTTCAATTGCCAAAATGAACATCCTCCCCAGAATCACTTAGCTCTTTTCAATGGCTCCCCTTTACCCAATTTAAACTTATTCTTGACACTCATCCAGATTATATACTATTTATATAGCATTTATTGAAGGAGAAAAAAATCCTTGAATCAAACCAACTAAAGCACTGCAGCATAGAAACATAACCGTTAGCTGGACTAGAGGACTAATAGCACCAGACTTCACCAACTGCAAAACATTAAAAAAAAAAACAAAACAGAAGTCCCCGGTACACCTTCGCATGGCATAACATACTTGCACACTTACCTTTGAGTGACTCACGTTTTCAGAAAACTACAGTATAAGGTCTTCAGTGTGTCCAACACTGAAGGATATCCACTAATATCTAAGCCTGCTAGAAAAGCAACTTATTTTGGTAACATGATCTTCCACCCTGTATGCTCACAACAGCATGATCCAATCCTCATTTAAACATTCATTATATACCACTTCTGTTTTCGACCTGGAAATATGAAATTACCCATCCTGATCATTTATTTGAAATTAATCAGTTTTTACATTTTACAAGAATAGTTTGGTTTCCCCTCTCATTGTTTTGAGTTTCTTAGTGTTAATTATTTCAAGATGAGGGACTCAAACCAAACAAAAAAACAAATAAAAATCAGGCATCAGCAGCTTCTGCTAAGTTGCACCCCAGTTGATTTGTGGTCACACTTTACCTCTTCAGTACTATAAACCGAGAATATAAAGATTTCAGTCTTTTCAAGACAATGCCATTTCAGAATAATAATAATTAAAAAAAAAAAAAAAAAAAAAAAAACAACACAGTACTGCACAGAATTATTCATGTCACAAACAGGGACTATATACAAAGGGGTTTTCAGACACAGAAAACTGCACTGCCCTATCAATGTACAGCTATCTCCAAGCCTTGTGGAAGTGCTCCCTAACCGATGCTTCTGGTAATCAGATGATTAAACATCAGGGCACGTCATAGGCCGGCATCCCAGTCACTCCACATTTCTGCCTGAATCTTGGAGACACCTCTGTCTCCTCCTCTGTCACCTCTGAGACACTAAGATCTATTACTCCTTTTTCTGCACACCAACCCCCACACCCCTCATCCCTTTATTAACCATGACCATGCCCTATTCTCTATTGTAACCTCCCTCACCACCTCATCTTTATACTAACCTCCACCACTCGTTCATCTATACACTAATCTCTACCACCCCCCACTCTGTTCTAACCCCACTACCTCATCTCTGTACTAATCTCCATCACCCCCTCATCCCTGTGCTAACCACCATCACTATCTTCTATCAATAACCAAATGCAAAGAAGTCATCATATTTGAATTACAGATAGGTGATACCATCACAATCAAAGAATAACTTACAGACCCTTCTTATACAAGCATATTCTTCACCAGGCCCATTGTTACTGATGATAAATACACCAGTGAAAAATACCCATCCTTTTACTTTATTAATCCTCCTATACTGTCTCTTTATCCACACTTGGATGTATTGGATGTAAAATTTACAGTTTTATATATTGAAAAACATGTTGTTGTGTTGTAATCAATGTATACATTTTGTGTGTATTATGTGTGTATTTTGTACTCATTTTGAATGCGTTCATCAAAGTCATAAACATGCATATGAAGAAATTCGTATGTTTCAAGGGAGAGGGTATACGGTGACACTGCCCACAAAAACATTCTAAATTGCCATTTTTAGCCATCATAACCAGGTAGTAAATACCACATGATTTTTTGACTCTCCCACATTTTTCAGCTGTGCAGTCTAGACACCATCCATTGGTAAATCTAGACCTATAGGTGATTTATGTCAGAACTGTATAACAAGCAATGTTATACGTTTGTGGAACTCTTCACCATTGGGAACATTATTATCAGTATTGCTGTCCTTACAAATTTTACCCAAAGGAAAAACAACACTATTAGTAACAATAAAAATTCTGGCAGCCCACACCTTTACCACACTCTGCAACTATGCTGATGTATAAGGGGGGAAAAATAATGTTTTATTTTTGCAAAGACTCAGATGATTTTTTTTTTTACTTGCCTCAAATGAGCGAAGGCTTAACAAGAGGCATAAATCAGGCCAGACAGGCCAGTTTGGATGAAATATGTCACCTCGGAGAGCTGTCAAAAGGAGAACGACGCCTGCACCCTCTCAGGGACGGTGCTGATCATGGAAACCAGATGGCCCGTCACCCGTCGTGCTGCGAACGCACAGACAGGCGCGGCAGGGCCTCCTGCCTCCTTTATGGGGATGATGCTGCAGGGGCATTCTGGGAACGTCTCGGGCACAGACACATCACTTACTCCAAACAGTGCGACTCATGGGGAGATTGCCATTGTTATATTGTCATAACGGCAATATTGTTAAATGCATGTGCCAAATATACTGAATATATCTCCTCACACGGCTTTCACAAATGACAGGGGTGTTCAAGTATGAATGATCTCATGGCAAAATCAGTCTGAGAGAGCTGACTCCAGGAAGTTACTTTCTAGCCGCCTTGGATATTAATTAACACCAGCTGCTGTGCTACACATGTTCTTACAACACAGCAGTTTTGCACTAGTATGTTTTCTGTATGCTTTCCAACACAATGAAGGTCTGCCGTGATTTGTGGGCTTAAATATTACAATATGTTACTGGAATTTAGCAGAGGCTTGTAACCAGAGTGACTTACAAAGGTTACAATTTCTACCGAGGCAATTCTGGGTTAAATACCTTGCCCAAGGGCACAGCAGCAGGGAATTGAACCAGCAACCTTTCGTTTACAAGCCCTGCTCCTTACCACTATGCTACACTGCTGCCCCATATGAAGAAGCAACATGAAGAAAAGTTGTGATGCTAGACCTGATGGTAAGCCGATGCCATTCAATAAAATATAGAAGCTTATAAGGGAATGTTTTGCAGTTGCATTGGTGTTTGGTTATTTGCCCAGTATTTGCCTGACGGCTGCCATTTTTTATTTGCATGTCATTAAAATGATTAAAAAGACGTCACTAATGTTTCACCATCAACATCCAACACCTGGCGATGTCTGGTCTTAAGCAGCTGGAAAATGGAGAAAATCTGATTATCTGATGTGAGTGTAAGTAGGCATGACTTGTGTTAAGATCATGTTGTTGCGTTTTGGCTACTACTGCCACTGTAACAGTGCATTAAGCACAAAGTGATGTTTTGTCACAGGAGATGGTGGACTCCCAACATCATGAGCAGACTGCTACCACATCTGTTTCATAATTTATGTTCACCTTAGTCATTTACATACTCAATATCATTGGGCAATCTATATTTCCACATTCTGACTACCATTCACAGTAAGAGCAGGGAATTATTTTCATGCATCCCTCTTTTTTAATATTTTAGTTAACAACACTGACTTGATATTGGCCGCTTGATATTGCTAATCTCCCATTCAGCCTTACGACCTTTGACCTTTATGATGGCACTGAAAACTATTGCCATATTAACGTGAAATTGGGATCATCAAAAAAAGAGAGAAAAGAGATAACAACCCTTTTACTGTTTTTCCCCCACATTCAGGGCAAACAAGTTAAAAAATGGCAGCACAGGAGGAAATGCTGAAATGTTTTAAAAATTTCACCAGCTAATCAGCCTACAAACTCTGGCATCCTATCTGAAGCAGTGCACTGGGGGGGGGGCACTGCTTACTTTCCCATACTGCTACTGTCAGCCGCTAGCTTGAGAGGGAAACAGATTCCTCATTGTAACCTCTCATTGACGGTGCAGTTAGGGAGCACAGCGCGAGTGCGTTACCCACATCTGGGTTTCGCCAAAAAGCCCATTTATCAAACGAGGCTCGATAGTGTCTCTGCTCCAAATTAGCCCAGCGGCGGGTGAGTAATGGGCAGAGAGGAGACGTAACGTCACGCTGGTTGAAGCGCAGGAGCCTGTAACAAGCAGAAATGCCTCACTCAGAGAAGTGTCGGGTGATCTCCATGGTCATCCCCAAACTTTAATTCAAAGGCCGTCGCTTTGCCTTGGACACGGGGCAAAAAAGATGTATTAAATGCCTCCTCAAATGCAATTTGACTTTTCAGGGAATGGACCTGAAATGCCCATTTAGGGAATAGAATCTTTTTGCTGGAAATATATATATGAAAAGCAATCCATCCTCTTCTTTGTAATGGGTATTTGAAATTTGATCGTATCCCTTGTAAACTAAAAAAGAAAATTCATAAAAGTGGTGAACATCTGCAAATGCACTATTTCTGTGGCATCAATAAAAAATAAATGTGTTCTGTTGTACAACCATTCCTCAATAACTGATAAAATGTTGGCCAAAAAATGCACCAAAACATTTTGTATTATGAAGAAACATGTTAAATATGCAGTTAATGTATAATTTGTTTGCATTGCTTTGCGCACAGTTTCAATGCCTGGAATGAAATGAGTTCATTTTTGTTAGTTGTTTGTTGCTGCTCAGAATTAATGTTTTCATACCCAAGCAGTAGATTTCCAGCTAAGCAAGCATGAGTGGATTTCAAAGAACCCACAACACAAACAGCATTTCAACAGATAATGAAGATTATGATCTAATTTCAACGAGCCAGATCGATATTGATGTAGCACTCAAACTAAACAAAACAGACTTAGGGTGTACAGCATGCTTCCTGTACAATGTTCTGAGGAAAAAGTGAACAGCGTTACATTCCATTCTTGATTTTAATACCCATTAAATAGAAGTTATGAATTCAAATAGGATCATTTCAATTTGATGAAGCTACGTGACTAAATCCAAAACAAAAGAAGCAGAAGTGTGGCCATCTGTGAAGAGTGAAGCCATAGATGCTGCAATGACACTGCAAGACCATCTGAGACACACTGTCTGTGCCAGTTTTGCATATGCATTTTTTCATGTAGTGGAGTTAATGGAGGTATGCAGAGGTCTTATGGATTAAGAGATCAGCTGTCATTATCGAAAGGAAATGAATTAAAGACACCTCTCATCCAGGTCAATGAGTAATGTGACCGAAATTAAAAAAAAAAAAAAAAATTATGCACACATATTATATAAGGGGTTGCACAGCCTAGTCGACAAGTCCGCTAGTCGACTTTACTACTCGATGACGCTTAAACTTGACGTCGACTAGTCGCTGATCACGTGATTATGACACTAAAGCTGCTTACACATGCCTAGCTTCAAAATCTCCCAATGCTTGCTTTGCCATTGTTTTTCTATTAAGAGAGCGTCACGCCTCCGTTCCGACCTCAGCGTAGGGTAGTGTTCAAACCAGGCGTTGTAACACTCCGCTCAAAGTTCAAATTGGTTGAACTTCGACCCCGGTTGCCGCTGACCTTTCCGAGTGTAACCAATGATTTTACAGTGTGATGTACTGGAACATGGGCGGCGTGACACCAGCGTGAAATATAAACATTGAATTTAAAGATCAAATCAAAGTCAAAATGGAGGACAAACTGGAGAAGCGTATACTGTGTGTGTCAGGCTTTTAAGAGTTGTATGAAGCGGCTGTAATAATTTATAGTTATTAGCTACATACCCAGCATACTCAGAAGCTTGCTACATCCCTGGTTATTAGCTGCTACCTAGCTTAGTTGTTCTGTCAAAGTGCCAAATCCAAACGTGAGTTTATAGTATTAACGTTACAGAGCTACAAAAAACTCAATAGCTAGCTAGTTTATTAGTATCCCTGCAAGCAGCACACATACATTTCCAAGGCGTCTATGTGATGTATGCCGATAGATCTGGAAGAGGTATTTAAAAGAGCGTTTGCTCATCTGGAAGACGTCTCCGAGTCATCAAATTTGAATGTCTGCGGTTTAACAACAAATTACGGGTAAAACTAAAACATCCGAAACATTTTAAACATTTTAGGGAGTCAATAACACCTTGATATTTCAGTATTATTTATATGTCAGTGTCATTATCAGCGGTCATACATAACATAACATGGGCTAGTTTCATGCTTTTCATGCTTAGTGTGTTGCTCTGTGTTGTTATCATAAGTCTGTGTTGATACCATACAGTGAGTCATTTTGCAGTACATTTGAAGTACACATTTTAAACTTTTGCTACGTAAGCAACATTGATGTAACCAGTATTGTTAACCAATTATTTATTTATTTATTTACCAGCACATCTTACATGGCCCAGAGCTCACACAGACTTTGCTTAGCTGGAGAAAATAATGATAAATGGCATTAAATGTGGCATTAAATATGTACGGTGGTACATACAGCTATACCGGTCGACACGTTTGTTTAGACAAGTTTGTTTGTCCTTTGTCAGAACGTCCCCTTCTTCGACAGCATTGTTGGCAGGGCAGCCAGAGGGAATTTTGATGCTCTCGCCGCTCCTGGTGTGAACATACATCAGCGATTGGTCGACGTCGACTCGACTTTCATCACATGACTGTCGACTTAAAAAAATCTGAAGTCGTGCAACCCTACTAATATATATATATATATATATATACATACATATATATATATATATATATATATATATATATATATATATATATATATATATTTGCCGTGAGAAGCGTTTCATGTTCAAATTGTACTTTGTACAACACTTTTAAGTTTTTCTTGTTTTTCTTCCTGTTCTGTTTTTCTGTACGTAACTCCTCTCCCAGCTTTTAAGCTACACTTATGAAACCTGGCTAATACATTCAGCTAGAACGGGACTGTGTTGCTTGTGCCTTTGGTGTCAAGTTATTTTTTTGAGATATTTATGATTTTGCATTGAAAAAAATCCTATCGAATAACATGGATAGAACATTCTGAATCTGATCATTCTAACATGTGCAGCTGACATCGCAATAAGTGTACTACACTATACTAGTGTACAGTGCAGACCATCTCTGGAGCAAAGCTTGCCTGCTACAGTGGCTACAGATGCAGACTGGCTCTCGGGCAAGATGTCTAACTCAGGGCTGCCAATTCTCACTTGTGTGGCACTCTCACTCTCCTTCATGAAATCTCACACTGTTAACGCTTGTTAACAGGAGAACTGGACAAGCAAGCCAGCTAACTGGTGGAAATTGAACTTGTGGACACGTAGATCTACTGTATCCATAAAAAAGGCTATGCATGTACACATGAGACAGTATCAAACTGAATATCTCACTCCAGCTAGCTGACTAAAGGTGGAAACCCTTGTAACTACTAGCTACTATCATGTTAGGCATTTTCAAGCCAGGTTAAAGTTTGTCCTCAAACCTTCCTTTCTAGTTACATTTGTTAAACCTGTTTGACCCTGTTCCAAATCTGTAGCAAATATTTTCCTCAACAGAGTAAAAGAAAAAAAAACAGCCTTGTCTAAGTATGTAAAAAAGGATAAAGATGTAACTTCTGTAAGTCAATCAAGCAATAAAACAATTAAAATGTCATTTTAGCACATTTTTAAATAACTGAACATATATTGTTTTTCAGACAGAATAATAATAAAAGACATAAGTAACTACAATATTTCTGTCTTACTGGTGATGTTAGACTTGCGATGGAGTCAGGATAAAAGACAATTTTAAGATTGACAAAAAGTCAATTTTCAAAAGCTTTTGGATTCGGGATTTCGATTTTGGGGTGTAGATTAATTTATCCTGAATTCCAAAGTTTGACTTAATGTTAATGATAGGTGATGCATCAGGTATCAGTTTAACTATGTGGGAAACTAGAAGGCTAGCTAAGTTGCCAAGCAAACTAAAAACATGATCAAATTTGCAAATAACAATTATAAAACATCAAATTAAGTGGTTTTATTCAATGTCCATTGCAGAGATGGCAGCTCTGATGTGAAGGAGAGTTTGTTTCTCAATTAG